ATTTCATTCCTGTTACAATTTTAATACGTATCAAATTTGAGATTCACCAAAACAGGGGGCTGGAGCCATAGCACAGAGGGTAAGGCATTTGCCTTGCAAGCAGCTGACCCAGGTTCGATTCCCAGCATTCCACATGGTCCCCTGAGCACTGCCAGGAGTAATTCCTGGGTGCAGAGCCAGGAGTAACCCCTGTGCATCGCCAGGTGTGACCCAAAGGAAAAAAAAAAGAAAAGAAAAGAAAAAGAAAAAAAATCACCAAAACATAATTTATCAGTAACAAAACAAATATTAAATGCCTATTGCCTATTAACATTCAGATGTGTAAAATGCGAAATGAATCATTAAATGTTTTTGGGCCAGCATGATAGTACAAGGGAATAGGTGTTATCTTTGCATGTGGCTGTCCCTGTTTCTGTCACTGGTAGTATAAATAGCTCCCCACAGTGGGTCCTGAGCAGACTAAGAAGTACTCCCGGAGGACAGTTTTATGTACCCCCAAGCTTCTGAACAACGACAAAAGTTACACAATTCACATGGTTCCCTTTATATTGCACTGAGATCTTTAATTAGAATTTTTTTTAAATAATTGAATGCATTTCTGGAAATTACCTAAAATTATTACAGTAAATACTTTGGTAGAAAACTATAGATTATGAAGTTACATAGCTAGAGTTTTTTTTTAACAATTTAAGACGTGATATTCAGTTTTATAATTGTAGCATATCTTGCATGCTCTATTTGTCCCCAAGAAATAAAATATTTGCCCTTATTAACTGAAACTACACAATGTTATATGTATTGTTTTGTCTCCTGACATACTGGCTTTCTATAAAAATATTGTCTTTTGTGGATATTCTAAGGTATTGCTTCAGAAGTGCTTAAGGGAAAGTGGCTAATGCATTAGTTACTCTCTAAACAAGGCATAAAATACAGAAAATCTCGCCTAGATTATTATAAATTTTTGTCAGTTACATCATTCTTATAATTTATTTCCTACATAAGGAAAATATTATCATTCAAACTGAAAAAAAAACTCAGATAATTACTAGCCACTGCAATTTCTATCATAAGTTGAATTTGTACTTGGAATTAAAAAACGATGAGGTCATCCATGCTTTTCAGAGCTGTGAAGCACAGTTCAAAACAATGGTTGGCTTTATAATTCAAAATTATGAAACTATTATGTGCTCTGGTGTTTCACTGATTAACTAGAAATTCAAAGAATTATCTTACCATCAAAAGAAATAAAGACTGTTAAATCACTCTCTCCTGCTGCAGATTATTTGTAACTTGAAACTGGAGTAAGTAGAAAAGTACTCCCAAAAGCAAGGGGGGGGGGGGGGGTGGGAGCAAAGGGCAGGAGAAAAATATTAAAGAAAAATTAGCTCTATGTCTTATTTACAAACAGATTTATTGGTGAAGTTCATGCAGTATAAAGACATGCTAATTTTAATAAAATAAGTTTTAATGAAATACTCATTCAAATAGAATAGAAAAATAAAAACTACATGTGCATGTGTGTTGTATAATTTAATATGTATAAATATTTATAGTGCACAAACCACAGTAATGATACCTCACGAAGTTTCCTTCTTCCTTTCCTGGACAGTGAGATCCATTATCATGAGTTTTCTGTTTGGGGAGGTGTTTCTTGGTAATGCTATTATAAAATTTCTTGGTTAGGCTCCAGAGATCGTGCTTTTATTCAGGCACTTTACATTCTTAATGTGGCCATAAGACAATCTTGTACCAGTGCTAAATTTAGGGATAAGTGCACTAACATATTTAGGGCTGCTATGAAAATATATGAAACTGATACAATGAAGTTTTCCTCATTGTTCATTACTTACCATGTTTTAGTAACAAAAATAATACTGGCTGCAGGAGGACAGATAATTGATGTATCTTATATGAGGGGAAAAAACTTTTCCAGGATTTTTAAACAACCCACGGATCACTGTTTCCAACTAATTACCATCAAATACTTTAGTATATTGGAGTTCCAATTAAGAATTGGATGATTCAACACTATATCTTTCCAAATAGTTTTGCCAAATTTTAACATTCAATTTTACAAACTTTCTACAGGTCACATCGTGTCTTCATGTAACTATATAAAATCATACATGGAGATGGTTACTATTCCTTTTCTAAATTTCCAGAATCATAAACACACATATAATTGATATTAATTTGCCTATTTTAGTTCAGTTTTCAAAGGAAACCCACTAAAAATAGTTACAAGAGAGAGATTTTGTATTATGATACAAGTTTACTCTCTATACTAAAAGTATTATGCAAAATAATCCAATTAAAACTGTGATATATATACATACACATATATGGTATATATCATGCAGTCAGAAGTATAAATATTATAAGTATCATACTGAACATTTCTTAAACGTGATCGCATGTTTAATTTCACATATTGGATTTGTTTCTAGTTTAAATGCTCACTTGAGCAAACAAAATTAGCCTTAAAGAAAACAACAGATTACTGATACACTGCATTGATGCATCTATTTTAAAATACAAATTATCTGTTATTTTTATTACAAAGAACAATATCCAGTAATGTTTATTCAAGGGATACTCAAGTATATTTTTTAAATCTACTTCACCTTAATTTATATTTTTCTGCATGGAATATATTGTCTTATTACTTATGTTGTATCATTTGAAGTATTATCTCGAGCATTCTAATCAACTTCACAAATATATCGAGGCAATATTCTTGGGCATGCATATTTGGGCATACATCAAAACATTATTGATGCTTACAGAGAGGAAAGGAAACTGATAGAAACAAAAACCTCCAATTGATCTTTTAATCCTATTTAGTGAGTTTGCCAGTGAAGGGAACTGAGCTAGGTAAGCTTTGCATATATAGGAAAACATTCTATGAAATCTTTTCATACAAGGTGACATTCAAAAGACTTTCTGATCCCCCACATAATATCAAGTCAAATATCACATCTAAGAAAGCAATTTGAGAACAACTTTACTATCGTGATCCTGTTACATATAGGCAATACTCCAGAGCATATTTATATCAATTATGTCAATTAAGTGACAAGTACAATAATGGTGCATAATTACGTAAACCATTTCAAAAGTATTCTTTAAACAATCAATTCATTTCATAGAGGAACAAACATATTCCCCATTCAAGAAATGTATGTTGTATTATAGAAACTGCTTTCTTAGTAACAAGAAATCTAAGATTAGTGAATTTTTGAAAAAAGTATAATCTCTGCACCCTTTATTACATTCACATGTTACTTCCATAGACTTTCTCATGCCATGTGCTTTATCTATATCATTATCATTTTTTTTCAAAACATAGTAACATAAATATCTCAACATCTCAGCCTATTAAGTGCTTACAAATATTACATGATCTCCATTTAAAAAACTTTAGTTAAATCTGTATGTTGTATCACAAATCCACAGATGCATGGTGATCATGTTATATACAAATGTTGTCCTCCTATGTGCTAAACAGCATGTTGCCATTTAATTTCTTTATTTTCAAAGATATCACCATTATACCTAGACTAACCAATTTCATAGTAGCACAACTGTGGTCTACATACATGGATTTATCTATGCAAGTAAAGCATTGTCTAAATCTGAAAATAGAATCTACCTTCAACTGACAGCAAGAGGTTTTAAATAACATTTTTCCATACTAAGAACATAGAACACATTTATCCTTAACTTTGACTCAAGACAGATAACGCTATAATTCCAGAGTCATGAGTGTAAACTGTTATGTAAAAGTTACCAATTTTTACTGTCACCAAATGACTCATTGTTCATGTTAAATACATTTCCAAAACCAAATGAAAAATTCTGTTTGAAATCTCAAAGACCTAAAACATAAAATACTGAGTTGTAACAAGTATCCTGAAAATATCCAACATCCCCTTACGTCTGTAGTCCACTATGTTCTCATCTAAAGTTGACCACAGAAATGTGAACTCATCTACGAAAGGTGATCACATTTTTTAGTGCACTTTTGATATTAATAATACATTCTGAGAAGGTATATTGTTAAAGTATCAAAATGTAAGTACTATAGGATACTGATAACCTTGGAGTTCAAACTCATTATGAATCTCTCGAGACTAGTCTATTTTCAAAAACTTAAATTGATATGGATGACTTCATTGCATATGCATAAAAAAACTGTTAATCAATTTCCACATCACTTCAAATAAAGAATGCCAGTTTTGCGATTGTAACTCTCTTTCCGGTCCTGTGTGAGTGTGTGTGTGTGTGTGTGTGTGTGTGTTTAATTTATATCTGGTAGGTTTTGCATTTAGATTCATTTACCTATGATAATGGGAGAGCAATTATAACCAAAAGATGTGCATAGTCAGACCTGAGTAAGAAATAAATACCTGGAGAAAACGTCCCTTCCCAGATAAAGCCATCGCTTAATCCTGCCACTCTATGTTCACCTGCATATGTGTGATGTTACCATTTTTATATTATTTAATATTAAACTGGGAATAAGTAGCATTTATTAAAATACTCAGGTGTCTATTTCTGCCAGTTTTTACTTAAATTATGTAAACAAAAGTTCTAAGAAAACCAGGGTCTATTCCAAATCAATATATGTTAACATATATGGTGAATAATTCAAAGCCACCCAAATCAACTAATACAATGCTAAGTTGACTTTTATTTTTCCTAATGATGCTCTTTTATGTAAATGCAATCTTCCTGCAAAGATGTTGGATGAGTACCAGTTTTGTAGAATTAAAATATGAAGATGAAGCCAGCCTTCCAAGTTTTCCACACTGAGTATTTTAATACCTTCTTCAAACTGTACAAAACGTATTCTTTACCTGTCTCCAAAATTTAAGAGAGGCAGAGAGGGAGCAAAATAGAGTCACTTGGACCAGTGCTGCCTGTGTCTGACTTCGCTGCAAAAAATCAAACGCAATCGCTTGGGTTACTATCAAGCAAGGTAAATAACGAACCCTTACCTTGCTTAGCAGTGACACTGACGAGCCCCGTCCGCGCTGCCCACGCCTGCGTTTCTACGCTCTCATTCCTCCTCTTCTCCTTTCAGAGTCTCTTCCCGGATGAATCTTCGTGCATCTCAGTGTGCTTCCCTCTGCGAGCATCACTTTTAACTCCGACAGGCAGGAAGCTGAAGCCAGAGGAACTCTCTATCTGATTGGTCTCCATTCAGTGGTTCTGATTTGCAAAGGGACGTTCCTCACCAGGGAAGATGCTACCGCTGAGGGCGCTGCCGGGCTCCAGGTTCGGGGCTGGGGCAGCTGAGATCCCTCTGGGCAGGGTGATTTGCAAGCGAATGCAAATCTTAGACCCCCGGGCTTTGTCCAGACCCCCTGCAGAGAAAACAGCCCCGTGCTTTTAGGGTTAATAAACTCTACTTAATCTGTTTACCTTGGTGAGAGAGAGGTCACAGCCAGCCTGCGACCTGAAAGTGATCTATATAAAATAAGTCACCTAAGAAAGTGCTCTCCCTCCAAGTATCTTGTGCAGGGTCCCTGGAGAATTCACCAGCGCCAAGTTCTCGTTTACTTTCCAGGAGAAAATTTCCAAGTTGAACCTAAGGAAAAGAGATCTGGTCTCTATTCATCACTGACAATGATGATTTCATATCTGTGCACCTGGGAGTTTGGAAGCTGGAATAATATCTCAAAACAGCAATTTAAAAACTGCTTCTGCTTGACGTTCTAACGTGTTGCTTTATAATTGAGAGGATCATTTGAATTGTATCTTCAAGCTTCTACAGGACTTTGCTTTTTTTTTTTTTTTTTTTTTTTTTTTTTTTTTTACTTAATAGTGTCATTGAATTAACTTTTCCTGATAAGGTCCAAAAGTAAAGATGGCATAGCCATGCAGTAGATGGCCCACCTGTTTGATTCACCATTGGACACAGAAAACAGATTAGGCAGATTAAATTACCACAGAGCCAATCCTCATTTCAGTGGAGAAGTCCCTTTTGTACTTTGGAAATGGCACAATAAGAAGATATTGATTAGTAGATAAATTTTTTTGAAAAAAAAATCTAGTAACAGTCATCCTAAATGCACGGTGGGGATATAGCTCTCTTTATAACGGCTCATTAAGTCACAGTAAGTAAATAGCTTAAGTGCCAAAAAATATCAATAACCTTACTTGATGCTTCAAAGGGAAACTGACAATAAAAAATAAAATTAGGACTTCTTTTCTGCTCTCCCAATGGTGAAGCTCAGCCTTAAAGAATAGATCATAGAGCTCCTTGTCTTATGCATGTACATATGGAAATTTATTTCCAAAAGGGGAAAACAAATATAACACACAGTTTACACTGTTGTCAGTAAAAGGTGATATTGGTCATTTATTATCATTTATGGTCATTGAACATGTAGGATACTTATAATTCCAATAGTTTTATACTAGACATGCAGGAAATGGTCAGAAATATTTTGTTCTTCTACAAAGAGCAGAAGAGATGAGACTAAAGTTTTATGTATATCATTTAAAGCCAGCTATAGCCAAGCAGTTTAGATCAGCTTAGTAAATTCTTCATGGAGGCTGAGTGTTTTCTTGAGGCAAAGATGCTTAATTTAAGATTCCCAATCTCTGCTTCTTTATACTCATTTCTTGCAGGTCTACTTGTTCCTTTAAATAAGTATACATATTATAAATGTCTCCTCACTAATGCTGAGATAAAGTGAATTTATGTAAAGTGGAGAAAAGGAAGAAAACAAAATGTTTTATCATAATTTAAGATAATTATTCACAAATAAAGCCTTAAATTTTTGAAATTGTATATATTTAGTTCCCTCTTTAACCCAACTGTAAAAATAAACAGTCTTGTGTAAAATTCACAATCCAACAGAGCATTCTATAACCTAATTTGAAGTTATTTGTATTTCTTTTAGATAGAGTGTGATAGCATTGCCAAATTGAAAAAAACAGTTACTCTCTTAGGGGGTTCCTATTTTTCACTTTTTTCACTTGTTTATCCTCCTGAGTGTGAAGTAAGGAAGGCAACGGACTTGAAATTGACATCACAGAAAATTATCTTATAACATGTATATAGGAGTTTTCAAATAGGAGTAGCATCCTCGTCCCATGCTTTGAATTCTTAGAATATCTTAAACCTCTAGCACATTGGTTTTCTTTCTTTGTATGTTCTTATCTAAATCAGAAAAATCTGGTGGCCACTGTCCCCTCTAAGGAGGGATTCCCTTCTGGAGAATTATCATGCTACCCAGACCCAAGTACTCCTATCGGTAAGATGGAGAAAGATGTGGAAATAAACAAAAAATTGAGACTAAAGAGTCTCAATTCTCTCAGGTTGGAATAACAAAAATATCAGAAAGTGTAGATTTACTTTTTTTAAGGCATAGGCAGAGAAATGTATGAATTGCTTTATTGCTATATCCAAGATCACGGTACCGTTGAGTTGCTGTCTGTTGAGTATTCTTTTCCTTTCATTTTTTAGGAACTCCAATTCCATTCATAAGCAGTCCATCTTCTTGACTAATCCTCTCCAAAGATCTGATTTACTAAGGGCTCCATCACACCAGTTAGGATTTCAGTGCATAGGAGAACGCGTAAGTATTTGGATCTTAGCAAGGCTAAATTGTGTTTTCTCCCTTAAAATCGTTTTTCCTAACATGGTACAACATAAAGGTAAAGAGAAACTTAATATGAGCATCTGAGCATGGTCTCTGTAGCATATATGCAAATGTCCTTCACACTGAAGAACAAATATAAAAGGCCTTAGTTATTGCTTCCTGATCCTTAAGATGGGCTGGAGCAATAGCACAGCGGGTAGGGTGTTTGGCTTGCGAGCACCCAGCCTCGCCGAGCTGAGTTCGATTCCTCCGCCCCTCTCGGAGAGTCCGGCAAGCTACCAAGAGTATCTCGCCCACACAGCAAAGCCTGGCAAGCTACCCGTGACTTGTTTAATATGCCAAACACAGTAACGACAAGTCTCACGATGGAGACATTACTGGGCCCGCTCCAGCAAATGCTTCCTTAAGATGGGCTGGAGTGATAAAAGAACAGATAGGACATTTACCTTGTGCGGAGGCAACCCAAGTTCAATTCCTCCCCCCGCCCCCTCGTAGAGCCCGGCAAGCTACTGAGAGTATCCTGCCCACACGGCAGAGCAGTGGTGTATTCAATATGCCAAAAACAGTAACAAGTCTCACAATCGAAACGTTACTGGTGCCCGCTTGAGCAAATCAATGAACAACAGGAGGACAATGCTACAGTTCTATCCTTGAGATTTCCCTTTGTGTTAAAAGTCATGTATGATTGTTCAAAATCTATAAAATAATCAAAAAGTATGTTAAAACTATTTTTCCCCAGACAAATCTCAGCTTGCCCCTAGGTATTTTTCATTTTAGTGTTGGAGGGCTTTTTTTATAATTACTATTTCAGTACTTCATCTTGAACTTTTCAAAGGTAGAATGACCTCTGAAATACACTTTTTCAAAATCCCATTTTTATTGTAGTGACTTCTACTTTCAAGTTTCCCCCTTCTAATCTGATGACAGTATTTTGACTTCCTCTTTCAGGTCTCTTCCATTCAACTTTGATTCTAACAAACACACCAGTCCTTCATCCATGCTTGTCACCACCCAAGTCTCACTCCTCGACCCACTTGTGCTAGACCTCAAGGTCCGTTATCAGAACCACTCCCCTGAACATTCTTGTTCTGCTTACTGCACACGCACTGCCTCCAGTGATGGTAATTTTGTAGATCATGGCGAATAAAGAATAAATAGAAAAAGGCTTTATGTTCTGTGGATAGCAATGAACTATAAACCATAAACAGACTCTAAGATCACAGTGTTTTGAACACCAAATAACACAACAGAAGCAGAATTTTAGAGTCAAAGTTATATGTTTTTATTTCATAGTTCAGGAAGCTTTTCATATTCCAGCCTTTATATAGAAGGCAAAAGTTATGAGTTTTCAGAATCCTTGCAATCAAACCTTGGATAATTTTAACTTATGTAGAATATAGATGCCATAAACAAACCTTGCCCAGTTAAAAAATAATGACTATGGTAATTGACCTCGCCTAAATTTTCGTTAAGCATCAATAGGATTGGTATTGCTATCACTAGTAATAATACCACCATTATAAAATCAAAATTGGCTAAAGTTTATTCTACAACTGCATTAATAATTGCAAGCATTTTATATCCTTAAACAACTCTACATGATTATTTTTTTCTTGATTATAGTACATGACAGTGTTTATTTGTCAAAAATAATTTAGTGGGGCAATTTACAGAACTACAAACAGAAGCAGTTCTATTTTGGGGCCAGAGAGATGACCTAGACGGTAAAGTGCTTGCCTTGAAGGATGCTGACCCAGTATCCCATATGGTCCTCTGAGCCCACCAGGAAAGATCCCAGGTCTGAGCACAGAGCCAGGAGTAACTTCTGAGCACTGCTGATTGGGTCCAAACAACAAAACAAACATACGAGCAAACAAAACATAGTTAATTAAATTTAATGTTCATTATCTTAAGCAATATATTCTTCACCACACTTAAATTGCCTATTTATATCTCACTACCTGGTGGGGAAAGATAACTGGAACACTGTATTTCCTAGAGGAATCAATGTGTATTTGTGTATGTTTGTGAATGTGTGTATGTGTTTATGTGTGTGTGTTTTATAAGCATTTTTGGAAATATGTACAAATAGTTCTGATTATTAATCCAATATTCTTAAAAGGATATGCTATAACAATAATTCCGTTAACCCAAATATTAGGAAAAGATCTACCTTAAGGCTCCTAGAGTTGTATTCATCTTTGAATTTCTTTAGCACATAGAAACACATGCAGTTGTCATGCAATAAGTGACATAGCATTTGTTTTATGCAACTATTAAATTTCAAAAGTAATAAAATAGTTAATTATCATCTGTATTTTTGTCACACCTGGCTCTTTGTTCAGTGATCACTCTTGGTTGGGTTCAAAGATACAAATGCAGTACCAAGGATCAAACCCTGGTTTTCTGCGTGTAGGGTAAGTGTCTCTCTGGCTCCTTTCTCTTCAATTAGAATAGCCTCCTTTTAGCTTCCCCAT